TTTGGGTTAGCAAATGGCTAATCAATAAACCCTTCCAATAACATGAAAGATAGAATTGTTATTCAATCAATGTTATTGATTTTTATTTGTTGATACTAAATTATGCTTAAAGCTTAGGACAATGAATAATTATTCTATTAACTTTTATGATTTACATGATACTAAAGGGTAGAAGTGCTACTCAATTAATATCATTAACCAGAAAAATAAGTATACATGAATATTTTTATCTAAAGAAATAGATTTTGCATAAAGATTCAAGTTAGCAAATGGCTAATCAATAAGTCCTTCCAATAATGTTAAAAGTAGAAGTGCTACTTAATTAACGTTATTGGTTGCAACATCTTTATTTTTTAAAAAGAAATTTTGTACAGGAGAGTTTAAGCTAGCCAATGACTAGTCATTAAACCCCTAGAACCAAATAATGTTAAGGATAAAATGTTATTCAGTTAACATTATTATTTTTCGTATATTAAATACTTTTTAAACAATTATTTTAAAGACAACAAATCATATTCACTATGTACATACAATTATTAAATAAAAAATAAATAATAAATAATAAATAAATAAAAAGAAAGAAAGAAAAAAGAAATGATACCAAATGAGAGACTTTAACTTGCTGAATCTTCAAATATGATGATCTATTAGGCATTTTTTGGCGACCTAACACACTACAATGTTCCTCACAAAATCTCAAGAAATAAAGAGGAGAAAGAAAGAAAAATTTCGAGCTCTAAGGAGTCTTAGACAAAATTTTTTGGCAGAAAACTGTGCCCGAGTCGTCTATTTATAGACGTCAGAAGTTGCCAGAACGGCCCGTTCTAAAATCGGAACGACCCGTTCTGAAAATGGTCGTTATGTGTTAATTTTGTAACTGGAACGGGCCGTTCTAAAACTAGAACGGTTCGTTCCAGAGATGAGTTTAACACATAATTGGATACTCTAGAACAGTCGTTCCAAATGAAGATTGTTAGTCCTTTTTAATAACTCAGAACGCCCGTTCCAATTTAGGAATAACCCGTTCTATTTTAGGAACGACCCATTTCAAGCGTAGGTTTTAGCCCTTTTTTAGGAGCTTGGAACGGCCTATTCCAGTTTAGGAACGGCCCGTTCCAAACTAGGATTTTAGGCCATTTTAAGAACTTGGAACGGCCCGTTCCAAATTGGGAACGACCCGTTCCGATTTTGCAACTGTCCATTCCTGGGTCCTAAAATCAACTTGTTTGGGTTTCAAACTTCCTTGTTGTCATATGGTAATGACTTCATACTTTGAGAGCTCTTCCTCTTCATAGTAGACGTTCATTTCATTGTTTTGGTGGGTCTGGATAAAATTGGTTATTCACAACAACTATTGAAGAATCAAATGACTTGACCTCAATGACATTAGTTACTCTCTTTGGTAAATTGAGAGAGCATGACCAAAAGTTGTATATATTTGAAGAAAATGAGCAGCTAGACAAGAAAGGAAGAGTAGTTTCATTGAAAACCTCAACCTTTGGAAAAAGGAAAGGAGATTGCTAAAGATTCAGATTTGGAACACTTCAACATGATGGTGAGGAAATTCAACAAATTTTTGAGGAGGTAGAAGAAAGCAAGTCAAGGTTTTAAGAGAAATAATAAAAAGGATGAAGGAAATGCTATTCAATTCACCTGCTTTGAGTGTGGAAAGCAAAGACACATCAAAGCTGATTGTTCAATTGACCTAAAGAAATTACAAGATGAGAAGAAAGACAAAAAAACATAATAAGGGAAAGAAAGCTTACATAGCTTGGGATTCAAATGACTCAAGTTCTTTAAGTGACATTTCTGAAAATAAAGAAGTTAACTTGTGATTGATGGTTGGAGTGGATCAGCAAAGCATTGTAAGTAATTCTAATTCTAAATCCATTTCGAATTATGATCAATTACAAGAAGCCTCATTCAAATGCAAAAAAAAAAATAAAAAAGCACTGAGAGTGGGAGCTTTTGATAGTAAGCTGAAAAGTAAACTTAGTTGGTATAAGAACACTTTAATAAAAGTTGAACAAGAGTTAGAAAATTTAAAATTAGAGCATGAATCTCTTGAGACAATTTACAAATTCAATTTCCCCTCTCACAAAAGCTAGTTGTGAAACTTGCTCAATTTTAAGAAAAAAAAATTGATTTGAAAGTTACACTAGCAAGGTTCACAAATGACAAAGCTAATTTAAACATTTTATTAGGAAAACAAATTAAGGTATATCTATGATAAAGTTGGAATGGGATTTAATTCAAACAAAAATGAGTTTCAAAAGAAAACCACCAACTTTATTAAGAAATACACTAGGTCATCCATTACATGTTTTTATTTTTACAAGAGAGGTTATACAATTAAGAATTGTTATACAAGAAAATATGGTGTTCTTGACTTTTATAATGATGATGATGATAAACTGATTGAAAATTTATAAGTTATAAGTTAGAGTTGAAAAACTAGAAGCTAATAAGTCAATTAATTAAATTTAAAGTGTTTAGTAAGATTAACTGATAAGTTAGATGATTAATGTAAAATAACATATTTATTTATTTGATGATAAGAATGAAAAAATTACATGATAGACAAAAGAGTTTATAAATTAAAAAGATAAAAATATATATTTTCAGTAAATTGATGGGGATGACAAAAGAAAAAAGAGGGAAAAATTAAGAACTTATGTAAATTATAAGTTACTTCAATTAACTTGTGAAAATAAATTATAAGTTCATAAAATAAATTATAGTACCAAATAAACTTATTTTGATCATACTAACTTATATGTTATTCAAAAAAACTCATAAATTTCTCAAATATTTTATTAAAAACATTCAAAAACACAATTTTGTTGATATAAAATAGATAGAAAATGAAACTAAGAGAATGAAAATAGGTGCGTAAAAATAAATGTAATAGTTTAGTTGAAATTAAATAAAAAGAAAAAATTAAAAACATTTAGGGCTATGTCCATTTTATTTCCTTATATATGATCGTGGAAATGGGCACGAAATTCAGCTTGGGACCTACTTTGCCTATATTGTCCCTTGAAGATTAGCTCATGACCTACCCAAGGTCGTTCATCCCCATTCAAAAGTTACTCCTTCCTCCCACTACTCCTTCATGCACATTTCCTCCTGTGAACCACTCTTTGCTTGCTTCTTGCCCCATTTCTTTTTCTTGCATGGTTAAAAAAATTTGAAAGTCTATTTTCTTCTTATTGCTTGTATTTTGGTCTCATTGTTTTGGTTTAATTCCTTTGTTTTTGCAACTGAACAAGAGATAATGGATGTTTTATGTGCTACTATTTGGTTTGGTTTGGGTTAAATATGACAAATATGTACATTTTTTTTATAACATAATCGATTAAACATTAGTTTTAATCGATTATGTTGTCCCAACTTATGTTGACAATTTGGCAATAAATTATGGAGCATTCTTAATTGACTACACCAACTAATGCAATCAATTATGAGAATTTTATAATGGATTAATTGACTTCAATTATGGTAGGAGGGGAGGGGAAGATGAGAGAAATGTGGGAAAGTAGTGTATGCGGTGAAGTGGAAGTGTGAGCAAGTTTTGGTGGGTTATATAGATAAAAACTTGACACAAAAATTAGAGGATTTGTGTGAGAGTTACTTGGCAAATCGTTTAAAAAGTGATCTTTCTCATCGATTTACACATTCATAATCGATTATTTTTATTAATCAATTATATATATACTTTATATTTATTTATTTACTTTCAAAATAAATAATTTAAAATATAAAATAATCAATATAACTATTATTATGAAAAATAAATAATAAGAAAACATTTTATATATTAAAAATTATCAAGTTTTAAATTTGGTAAAAATATTAATTAAATAAAAAGGTATAATAGTCTTTTAAGTCTTAATTTTGATAAAAATATTAATTAAATAAAAAGGTATTAATGTGATTATTATAAGAATATTCTTTTTACATATAAGTATTAGATTTTAAGGTAAAATATACTTTTTTCTTTAATAATTTTTCAAAATCAATTTAAGTCTTTAAAAAAAATTCTATCTATATTTATCTAATTTGAAAATATATAATTTTTTTTTATCTTTAAAGTAGTTTCGATAATTTTTTTAAACATTTCAAATATTATTAATACTACTCTAAAAATAAAAAGTGGTCCATTTTTATAATAAAAACATTTTAAAAGACTAAATCTGAATTCTAAAATTTGTAAAGGGACTATTTTTCTTTTGATTGCACCTATTATTAAAATTCATGTTAAGTTAATATTGGATAAATTTGATTTTACCGTCAAATCTCACAATGACTAAACATAAAAAGTAAATTTTGTGTTGGGTTAAAAATTACACATTAGTTTTATATCAGACTCATTTTCAAAGTAAAATCATTTAAACCTAAATCACTCCACCTTAAACACAAATTTAACCAAAATCACTCAATTTAACCAAAAACAATAAAATTAATTTCACAAATACTTACCTAAAACGATTGGCATAATTAATAAATAATCTTATCTTTTAATTAATTATGTGATTAAACTTACTTTTAATCTCTAGATTCATGTTGATGGAAAAACATCTGTTTATTTAAAACGCAATGGCTTAGATTCCCTTAAAATTTTTTTTTTCTTAATAACACCAATAGAAAACAAACATGAGTTTCTAGAAATTCCGTTATGCCAGGCCCAGATCAGTATTTAGTTATTCACAATTTTAATATCTATTTGTTTTTGTTAATTTCCGATTGGACCCAAAAAAAGTTAAAAAAGAAGTTACAAATTTATGATTTTTGAAGTTGAACAGAAGCTGCGCTGGTAACGCTAACGCACATGGCATAGCTGGGGCTTCAGTTCCGCTCCTACGAAACCGACACTCGCAATAAACAAAAGAATTTTGGCCTAATAAATACAAAATACCAAACCGATTTTACTTCGCATCTTCAACTGTTGCACTCCAAAGTCAATTTGAGTTTACACAGCGGTTGATAATTAATTATTTGAATTATTATTAGTATTATTGTTAATTTATTATTATCGGAGATTCCATGCTCGAGAAAAGAGCAATGAGTGTATTTGAAGGCACGGACCCCACATGGTTGCTGGGGTTGGTCCTTTGAGATGCCAATGCCATTAATGGTACACATTGCCCCATGTTCCAAAAACCAAAACTTTCCACACCCAAGCCTGCATTTGAGAGAGTCAATGCCTTCTATTTAACCACACTGTTACTGCTTTGTGTTTTTTCCTTCATGGGTATGAGTAGTTTGGTTTAGGTTTTTACCTTTTGTTTGTTTGTTAGGGGTAGGGAACTGGGTGGTTGACCTAAACTTGAGGGCTGATTGGGAGTTTTTAGGTTTCTGGGGGCTCAATTTTTATGTTTTGGGGGTTTTGGGGAAGTGGGTATGTGGTTGGGTTCTAATTATAGTGGAGTGGTTCTAGGGTTTTTGAGGAGGTGGTGGTGTTGTTGATTGAATCTGGTGGTGGATTCGGCTCTTTTGGTTTGTTGGGTTGCTGGGGGTTTTGATAAAGGTTGTTCCTTTGGAGGGAGGGAATGGAAAGGAGCTGCATTGTGGATAATTTCCGAGAAGGGTAAATTTGAGGCCAAGTGGTTGTGTGTGCTAAAGGTGTTTGTGAAGGGTTTCAACTTTCAAATTCAATTGAACTTAGATCTGTTCTTGACTCGGTTTTGTTCAGCAATTGTTGTTCTCTTTTGGGGATTTGAGTAAATGGCTTGCGTGAAATTGGGTTCCAAAGCCGATGCTTTCCAGCGTCAAGGGCAGGCCTGGTATCTACCCTTATCCTTTTTGTTTGCTCTGTACAGTTTTTCTTTTCACTCTCTTCTCTTTTCAAATGTGATGTTCTTTCTGTGTGTTGTGAAGACTAAGATTAGGAAGAACATGTTTATCTACTTTTATGCTTTGCGTTTGCTGAATTCTTGCTTTGTTAGTGTTTTTAGTGGTTCAGAATATGGCGAATATTCTTTTTGTGAAGGTGTTACTACTTACTAGTCTTGCTTGTTAAATCTTTCTGTGTCAAATTCAGGTTTGGTGGTGCTTGGGGCCTACATGTAAAAGTGGGAATGAAAAGTGCTTCACGAGTTCCTTCCCCTTTTTATAGTAATTTGATTTGATAGTCAAACATATATGAATGGCAAAAGTCTTTAATTTGATTTTCCTGCAAACGAGCTTTGTACACCTTTGATGCCATTGTGATAAAAATGGACTTGTCATTGAAGATTTTTATTCTTGTACGAGTGCTTAATTTGATTTATTTTCTTCATGGTCTGTGAGGAACTGATCTATGATTTTCTTCATTTGAGTATGCTTCTTATCATTACAGTGCATGAAATAGCATGAATGTGCCTCAGTTTACCGCCTATGAAGGAATCAAGTGATCGTTTTGCATTATAGGCGACAATAGCCCTGTTAATGGACCTTGCAATGCACTTCTTATTACTAATTTTTAGTTGTCCCTTATTTTTCTTATATTAATATTCTGAAGATAAATGGAATTGGCTTTCGTTCAAGATATGGTTTTATAAGACACTGAATGATGTCATTTTTTTTGTCTTGGATTCTTAAAAGTAAGCCATCTTTATATGAGATTGCTCTGAGTACAAACTGATTGGAAATGCAATGTGTGTGATGGTTTTTTTATTTTGTCATGTTTATACAATCTGTAACCTTTACATTGCTGTTATGACCATAGGTTCTGCACGACTGGGCTTCCTAGTGATATAGTTGTTGAAGTTGGGGAGATGTCTTTTCATCTGCACAAGGTATAAAATATCTATATCTCTTATTTAAGTCTTTTTTTTTTCATCACATCTAGTTGACACGCTATTCAAACATTAGTTTACTTCAATGTCTAGCTGTTTTAGAAGGTGATTTGGTTAGCTAAAAAATTGTCTTTACATGAAGATAGACGTAGCAGATTATACTCTAGTACATCATGTTATGAAGTATGCTGTCAATTTTCTAGTAGTTGAAAATAATTGATATTGCTCCTGTTGGAGTGTAATTCTAGTTGGGCATGTTTCTGTGTTAATAAAAACTTGATAAATATTGTTATTTGTCATGGGGCATTATGTAAATGTAATATATTTGTTCTGTTTTAGGAAAACAGTGCCAAGTTATATTTCCATTTTCATCCATATAGTATTTATCACATGTTTGATTTTGCATTTTTACAGAAAATAGTTTTCCATCTAAAAAGTCTGCTCTCACTATTTTGAATATAAGATTTTGTGAACATAAGCTAATTAACATTCATGCATATTGCAGTTTCCTTTGCTGTCTAGAAGTGGGGTTCTAGAAAGAATGATTGCCGAGGCTTCTGAATCAGAGGAAGAATGTGTCATATCCTTAGGTGACATTCCTGGTGGGGCCAAAACATTTGAACTTGTGGCAAAATTCTGCTACGGTGTGAAACTTGAACTTACAGCATCAAATGTTGTGTACCTCTGGTGTGCTGCAGAACGTCTTGAAATGACTGAGGAATATGGTGAAGGCAATCTTATTTCACAGGCTGAGAACTTTTTCAATCAAGTGGTCCTCCGCAGTTGGAAAGACTCTATGAGGGCACTTCAAAGCTGTGATGATGTTTCATCCCATGCTGAAGAGCTCCACATTGTGAAAAGATGCATTGAATCACTGGCAGCAAAGGCATCTACTGACCCAAATTTATTCGGGTGGCCAGTGTTGGAGCGTGGTGGTCCTTTGCAGAGCCCTGGTGGAAGTGTTTTGTGGAATGGAATAAGTACTGGGGCAAGACCAAAAAATTCAAGTGCAGATTGGTGGTATGAGGATGTAACAAATTTGAGTTTACCTCTTTATAAGAGATTGATAGCTATCATGGAATCTCGAGGCATTAGGCAGGAGATTATTGCCGGTTCTCTTGCTTTCTATGCTAAAACATATCTGCCTGGGTTGAATCGACGTCAGGTTTCTGGTGAGTCCAGTGCCCGTCTGACACTAGCTATGGGGTCTCCACTATGTGAAGATGACCAGAAGATTCTACTGGAAGAGATAGACGAATTGCTCCCAATGCAGAAGGGACTGGTCCAAACAAAGTTTCTTTTTGGTCTACTTCGAACAGCCATGATTCTACGAGTGAGCCCCTCTTGCATATCAAACTTGGAGAGACGGATTGGCATGCAGCTTGATCAAGCTACTCTGGAAGATCTCTTGATGCCTAATTTCTCATATTCAATGGAGACACTTTACAACGTTGACTGTGTGCAAAGAATTCTTGACCATTTCCTTGCCATGGATCAGGATACTGGTGGTGCCTCCCCATGCTCAATTGATGATGGTCAATCGATTGGGTCACCTTCTCTGACACCAATCACAATGGTAGCCAAACTGATTGATGGTTACCTGGCAGAGGTTGCCCCAGATGTTAACTTAAAACTTCCCAAGTTTCAAGCCCTTGCTGCTGCTGTTCCAGAGTATGCCAGGCCTTTGGATGATGGTTTATATCGCGCCATAGATATTTTTTTGAAGGTACGCATCTAGACCAATCTGGTTTTGCTGGTTTTGCAGTTTTCTATAGTTAGTGTGTAATATGCTTTTGATATGATGCTATAATAATGGACTTGAGGCTTTATTTGAATAATTTTTTTCTGAAAACACTTCAAAAAGTAGAAAGGAAAAATTAAATAACTTTCATTATAATATAGAAGATAATTTGTAGAAGCATTTTCATATTAGTTTATACTATAAGTTAGTTTTAGCTTAATAACTTGTAGAAGAGTTTATTTCATTTTTTTTTCTTCATATTTTTTTGTTTTTGTATTATTACTTTTTGAGAAGTTTATTCAAATAGACCCTTGATGTTATGCATTATGCTAGTAGGCCATTTCTTGACCTGAATGAATACCATATATGTTTGTCGAATGGTATTTTTAATTCAGCAATGTTTCTCCAATAGGATCTTTGCTTATAAGAGACTGCTTGGATACAAGTTTAGAAATATTTTTGAGAATTTTTCTATAAAAATATACTTTTTATTTATGGTAGAGAAGTTCTCAAAAGCCTTTCTAGCTTGTATCAAACAATCTCTAAACAGATATCAGTCACATTTGTAGGAAGTTTTCAAATTGTAATCTGTATTTCTATTCACATTATATAGTGAGTTAGCATGGGTTGTCACACTTCTAACTAGTTTGTACTGGTTTCAATGTTGTTCACAAACTACAGTCTCACCCATGGTTGGTGGAATCTGAGAGAGAGCAACTATGTAGGCTGATGGATTGCCAGAAGCTCTCATTAGAAGCATGCACCCACGCTGCGCAAAACGAGAGGCTACCCATCAGAGTGATAGTCCAAGTTCTATTTTTCGAGCAGCTCCAGCTTCGGACTTCAATCGCCGGCTGCTTTCTAGTTTCGGACAATCTTGATGGATCAAGGCAATTAAGAAGCGGTTTTGTCGGATCAACAGAGGGCGGCTGGGCGTCGGCTGTGAAGGAAAACCAGGTTTTGAAAGTGGGAATGGATAACATGAGGATGAGGGTGTCTGAGCTTGAGAAGGAATGCTCAAACATGAGGCAGGAGATCGAGAAACTGGGTCGCACGAAGGGAACAAGCGCTTGGGGAACCGTGTCGAAGAAACTAGGGTTTAAGTTAAAGTCTCAGATGTGTAGTGCTCAAGAAGGGTCAGTTAGCAACCAGAATGATGCAAATAGTAAGGTTGAGAAGCTGAAGGACAGACATGTAAAGCACAAGAAAAGTTCTTCTGTTAGTGACAAAGCATCAGTCTCTTCAATTGTTCATTCGTAGTGTCTCATGTTAATTTACTCACAAGGTTTTTCTCGCATGTTACTGTGTCATTGAGTAATCAGTTTCGTTGCCCCTGCTTCTTAAGCAAGTGTAACTGAGATGGAAACAGAAGTCTCTGTATTGTGTAAACCGTAGATTTAGCTGTTTTTTTTTTCTCCTGTCCCACTACATATGAATATAAAAGGTCCATGCACAATGTGTCTCCTACTTGTCCAAAATATTCATTTGTTTGAATTTAATTTTATAGAGGTTATCTCCAAAGATTTATTCCTTAGAATTATGAAATTATTAGGAAGTAGCTATTTGTACTTTTGCAATACCTCGCTATTCAGTAGAATTTTTGTTTTAAAATTTCCCAACTCATTTTAAGGATTTAAAAGCCCATTTCTCTTCAAATATGTTCTTTGATAACATTAAACAATCAATATGGGGTGGTATAATCGATAAATAATCGTGATTTTTAAGCATATGGTTTGAGATTTGATTTGAAATCCTTGTCCATGATGACATTTATTGAGAAAGATTAATTTTTTAAATAAATTTTAGTATTTTAAAATAAAAAGAAAAACTCAAGTCCGCATTGTTGTTATTGTGGTCATAATGTAAGAAAGAGTTAATATTATTGTTAATAAGTACTTGCGGTTATAATGTAAAGAGTTAACATTATTGTTAATAGATGATTGCATGCATCTGGACCATGTCTAAGATGTATTTGTTGATTTGAATTTTGAAGATTCCTCATTTTTCTGTAAACCAAGTTTTTCCATTCATTGTATGGATATTTTTAAATCTAAGAAAAAATAAAAAATAAAAATGAAATAAAAAATTATTTAATCCATGTAAAATAGTATTTTTGGTTTTAGTCTTTTTTAAATTTTTATTTTTTATTTTGTCCCTGTAAAAATATTTTTTTTTTCCATTTTTGCTCTCACTTTCATATTGACCTTTAAATTTAACAAAGAAAAGATTTATAGAGACCAAAATAAATAAAAAAAATAGAAAATTATAACCGACACTTGAGATAATCAAAACAAAAATAACAAGAACTTGAAAGGACAGAAACAAACAACAAAAATGGAGAAGACCAAAATAAAAATAAAAAATTTAAAAGATTGAAACGAAAAACATCTATATTTGGTAGTGACTAAATATTTATTTGAACCAAATTTATAAAATTAAATTTTTAAATACAATAAATGTACTAATATATAGTGTAAGATTTTATTTTATTTTATTTTTGCTCATTATAAGGTGTTTTTGCTTGTAACAATTAATAAAATTTGACATTCTTATTTATTATATTATACTGGCATAAAAATAGAGATAGACACTTTATCTGTATGAATTTTTTTTAAGAATATATTACTTGAACCAATCTCACTTCCGTTGGCAACAACCCATGGTTGCTTCCATTTTCTCTGAAAAAAATAAGAAATAAAATAATAAAAAAAATTATAAAATAGTAACTAATTTATATAAGAAATAAAGTAATTTGAGATTAATTACCAAGATAAAAATGTCAAAAAAAAACTGTATTGTCTTTATATATTATTATAGATATATAATTATTAATTATACAATAGTATAATTTATAGTAGTGTAATTTGATTTCTATCTTAACATTCTCAAATAGTATAACAAATTTATAAAATTTCATTTAATTATTCTATCTTAATATATAATATTATTTTTAAAATATAACTAAATATTGGATATTATATCACATTTTTACAAATATATTAATTATTTAAATGTTAATATGCATAATTATCTAAATAATGTAAAAAAATATCTAAATAATATCATATGATTTAATTCATAATTAGATTGACAATTTATCTGTTGTTAAGAATATAATTATATAAAATTTTATTTTGTGTTAAATAATTTTAACCTATTTTTACATGTAAAATATTGTATATAGAGAGAAATTCACTTACTTTAAGAGTAAGTTTTGTTAGAGTTATTGCACTCAATAAGTTATTGTTTAAATTGAATTTCAATAATTCAACTTTTAAATTAAAAATTCTCTTGATTAGTAGATCAAATCTAAAAGTTTTTGCAAAATTTGAAAATCACACAAAATATATAATCAACATACAAAATAGTTTTATGATTATTTATCCATTTGAATCAATGAAATGAAATGTTAAATCATTTTTAAATTTATATGAGGAATGATCTACTTATTCACAAAAGTAAGTATTGGTAGACTTACTTCACTCAATAATTCATGTTATACATCAAATTTTAGAGATGTATTGGATTGAGATTTTGAAAGACAATTTTAGTATAAAAAATTCTTGTAGATTTTAAAAGATATTGGAGGAATGTCATGACTTTTAAGATTTTTTTAAAAGACTTTTAAAATTTGGATTTTAATCAAGACTTTATACTTCAAATTTTAATGGATTTTGATGGATTTATATTATAAGATTTTAAAGGATTTTATGGATTTCACAAAAAAATATGGATATGTAATTATACAAGATTTAATATAAAAAAACATAAATAATAAAGAAAAGTAAAACCAACATAATTTTTCTATCTTTTAACAAATAATTGACTTTAATATTCTCCTAACTAATATTTCGTCACATATTTAAAGTTATATTAGTTATCCATGCATTGACATATTCTCTCTCATGCATTTGAGTCAGAATAATATTTTCAAAATTATGGTTTTCATTAATGGGTAGCATTAAAGATGAAGATTCATCCACTACTTCAATTAAACGTTCATTGTAATGACATTTTTTGCAAAAAAATTATGTATGCTAATACAAGTTCAACTTGTGTTTTAAATAGAAATAGAGACTCTGATTTAAAAATTATGAAGTGTGATTTAAAAATTTAAATATTCTCTCTATCACATTTCTTTAGGATGCAATGGCGTAAATTAAAAACTTCATTTTCATTTTAAGGGTCATTACCATCACTACAAAGTTTTTTAATATATATGCTTCAAATTTTTATATTTCAATATTAAATTTTATTAAAAATAAACAATGAAATTTTAATAATTTAGAAAATTTAACAATAGATAAATGAGAGATATGAATAAAAAGAGAAAGAGAAAAAGAAAAGAGATGGAGAAGAAAGAGAAAGAAAAAAGAAGCAAGAAAGACAAGAGAGCATGAAAAAGAAAAAAGAATAAGAGAGAGAGAGAAAAAAAAAGAGTGGAAATAGAAAGGAAAAAAGTCGTATACAATCTCAAAGGTTTTGATGAGATTGTTTGATAAGTGAATTACATGTAAATTATATCAAAAAGTCTCCCAAAATCTATTATTTAATTTTTTTAAAAAAAATATCTTAAATACTAATAGACTTTTTTTTAAATAAAAAGGTCTTAGTTGAATACCACCATATTTTAATGAACTCTTAAAAAACTCATAATTATCTTAAGTGAATACTACTAGATTTTTAGGGACTCTTAAAAAATCTTCATTGAATACCACATGACTTTTTTATATTAAAAAAAGTTTTGATCGAATATCACAAGACTATTTTATAATAAAAAAAACATTTTAAAATTCATTAAAATTATAATCTAATGTGTCTCCTGTAACACCCTAATTTTTACACTTTTATTGAGGGTAATTTAGTAATTTTTAGGGGGTAATTTAGTAGCCTAGAACGGGTCGTTCCTAAATTGGAACAGGTCGTTCCAAATTACTAAAAAGACCTATTTTTGGTAGCCCAGAACGGGCCGTTCCCAAAATGGAATGAGTCGTTCTAAACCACCAAAATGGCCTATAACCCTAGATTGGAACGGGGCGTTCCAAAGATGAGAACGGGCCGTTCCAGAGATGAGAACGAACCATTCCAAATATGGTCCTTATGGGTTTAATTGCAACCCCAGAATGGGCCGTTCTGGTTTGAGAACGGGTCGTTCTGGATGTGAATTTAACATATGACGTGAGATTTCAGAACGGGTTGTTCCGGATTTGAAACGGGCCGTTCCGCGAATCTTGATGCCTATAAATTGAGTGCTCTGGCACTCCCAAAATGATATTTTCCAGTTCTGACTTCTTTCAGTTCCGACTTCTTTCTTCTACATTCTCTTTTTTCCCTTCTACACTCTCTAAGACCGAGGGGAACTTAGAGGAGGAGACCAAGGAGATCTCTGTTTTAGTTTCAAGCTGTTTATCCAGGTACAGGAGAAAATGAGATTATTTATATGTAGAGTTACATGAGAGAATTGGGTAGAGGAAGAGTCCCTTAGGATTATGAATAATTTTATAATTATTTCTGTTTAGATAATTATTGGTCTTATGTGATTCTGTATGTATTTAGGACTACGAATATATGATTAATTTGTAAAAATGATGCTCTGGGAGAGAGAACGAAATTATAGAAAAGTGTCTGTAAGTTAGGTTTTGGAAAAATTAGATTATTTCTGTTTGAGGAATTAATGATCCCATTAAATTCTGTATGTGTTGAGAATTAGAAATATATATTTAATTTGTAAGAATGATGATCTGGGAGAGAGAATGAAATTGTAAAAAAGTGTCTGTGAGTTAGGTTTTGGAACAATTGGGGGTTTTACTGTTTATGTTAAAATTATATTAAATGTGTAATTCCATTGATTATTATATTAATTGATAACATGATGTTGCGAATGGTATGTTATGACTTAACTGCCCAATTAATTATGATGTGAGTATGTGAACATGAGATGAGATGTTGTGTGGAATGTGAATATGATGTGATTGTGGTTCTTCACACTTATGACCAATGGTGAGCACGGCCCTGGATTGTTACATGGGTATCGTGATCTTGGATAACATGTCAGGGGTGAGCACGACCCTAGGTTAGGGGTAACGTGACCTTGGCACAGTGTTATATCAGGGGTGAACACGACCTTGGATTGTTACGTGGGTATCGTGACCTTGGATAACATGTCGGAAGTGAGCACGACCCTGGGCTAGATATGCTACAGGGGAAACGTGACCTTGACACAGTGTTATATCAGGGGTGAGCACGGTCTTGGATTGTTAAATGGGTAACATGATCTTGGCATAGTGTAAAGTGCAAGATTTGTGATGATTGGTGTGATTGCGAATTATGATGTGATGATGATGCATGATTGATCGAGTTATGATATGTTGAAATGTTTATGAATATTTTATTAAGTATAAAGTTATAATGAGACGATATGTTACGTTTTCCTTATGTGCTTTATATATAGATGCTTTATTTTCTTACCGTACAATTTGTGGATGTTTTAGGTGAGGAAAATCCGGCTTTGAGTGGCATCT